ATCTGCTGCTGTTATCTGAGGAAAAGTATCTGGAGATTACCATATCCAGGACAAAAGATCACAAGAAAGAAGTAGCGCTAGAAAAAAAAAAAAAAATTTAAAAAATCATATTCCTACATAGAATATGCATTCCATAACAATGTTTGTTTGGACTGGTTTTATATTTCTAAAATTATAGTTTATTACTGTATTCTTAGATTTCAGACTTTTTAAAAAATACAGTGCTTAGATTTATACAGGATTTGTTTAGATACTTATAACAGTAACACTTGCTTTATTAGTCATTTAGTTTTCTCTATAGACAAGAAGATAATGATTATTTTTTACAAGACAACAATTTTAACCTTTCTTAATAGAATACACAGGCTTGTAGTTTTGTCTTGGAGCAATAATTTAGTGACCTGCACTCTTGAATCACCATCTGAGAGTCTTGATTTTTATCCTCATCTTTCGTGAAGATATCTCAGCTGCTGAGGTATGATCTCTATGAACTGTATTCATTTACTAGAATATAGATTTTAAACATATATATATATTTAAAAAAATACATATTTGTAGGTGTGATCAGGCTGGGTACTGTAGGACCTGAAGAAGCAGGTCTGTACTGTACCTTTGGCCAATAGCGATGCATGGAAATGGGCTGCACATCTAATTCCTAGGCTTAAGGATTCTGAGTTCGTTTTGGAGGTACAAGGTTTATAACAGTGTTGATCATTTCTGTAAGGGATTAATGTGGGAAAGACTGAATCTTTCTAGGCAGACATCTCCTCCTTGAGACGTACCTGCAAAATGAGAGAGGGAATTCGAGTAATTCCATTAACAGTAATTTAGAGGAGACGACATGATTTGTCACACCATTGTTTCAGTACCGTTTCAGTCAATTTTGGACTGAAGTTGGTGCAAGTTTTGCCTGAATCGGTTATTCTGCATCTAGAAATTTCCAGCTGTCTGGAAATAAGTTATGTGAGAATAGCTCCTTGTATGACACTTCCACATGTGTGCCTGAATGTGGGCACAAAAGCAGGACGACTTTTCTGAAATCAAGTGTTTCAAAAAAACTTTCAAGTATGGACAAGTCCCATGTTAAGGATTTCAGGGCTGTGATCTTGGCGAGGCTGTCAATAAGCCTTGCAGAATTAAGTTCAGATAAGGACTAATAACTGATTTTTTGGTTAAATTATTTTTAAAATACCTTTCATGTATATACAATTTTTCCTCTGTTATTTGTATATAGCTCAACTCTCAATTTTATAATCCCCTGGGAAGGGAGGGAATTGTACATATTTAGCCTGAAGTGTTTTATGTTAGACTTTAATAAACTTGTTTTGTAATTTTCCCTCACCTTGTGTCTCCTGTTTATAACTGTAAGGGGTAGCAACAAAAGGAGGAGGGAAGCAGTCTAACATCACCACCACCAAAGCACCCTGTCAGAAGGACGCGCGGTGGCCCTTTGCGCAGCAAGGATTACCACAGTGTCTTCTCAGCAGCGAACACACCTGGGTTTTTCTCACAGGAGATATTTGGGGTCTGTTCAAACTAAATTAAACAAAAAAACTTTATTCAATCCAGTGTAATGACTCTTAGGCTAATTTTTTTCCACTTGTTTTGAGGTGTTGAGAGGGTTGGTATTTGTTTTGGGGTTTTGTTGGGGTTTTTTTACAGAGTGCTTTGAAGATGTACTTTTTATGCTGAAGTAGATATTCAGAATTTGTATCAACTTATTTTTACTAGATTGTTTAATTTTACAGAAGGTGCTGTGGTGGCTAGAGCACACAGCAGGGCTTAGGGCACCTATGTTGTACCACTGACCTGCTGGTCAGTCTTTTTCCTTCCCTTTAAATTGGGGAAAAAATGCTGCCTTTTGGCAAGGTACTGTGAGTTCTAGAAGCCAAAACAATGGCTTATGGTGCAGATTTATGCTTGCTTTTGCTACTAAAATAACTTACTCAGAAGGCCATGGCAAAAATTTCGAGCCTATGTAAATTCTCTCCTTCCAAAGAACACAAGATACATCTTTTAAGAATTTCAAGGTTTGGCTTTCAGAGAAAGCAAAGCAGTAACTGTCTCTGGCGTAGGACTCTCTGAACAATACAGGTTTCTGCATAAATAATTATTTTAGTTTGCAGGAAGCTGTTTATACCTCAGTTCAGTAAGAATTACTCTGCAGCCCTTTCTTACAAAGGAATATCCAAGTAAACTGTAACAGATGAGCTATTTGTATGGATGTTGTCAATAATACAGAGTGTTATTTTGGGCCAAACATCTTGCCATTAAACAAGAGTTCAGACAGTGTAAAAATATTTCAAAAACAGACGCTAGCAATTTTGAAAGTAGATGCAATTTATCCTGTTACATTTTGTAGATGATATCGTTGCCATCTTATCAAAAAATACTGCTGTTGGTGGAGTTGGATCTGACTGGGTAGATTTGGGTCCCTGTTGCCACACCAGATTAATGAATGTCATTCATACAGGTAAATTAAGACTTGGGCAATGAAATTGGCCTGAACCTCATACACAGGACAAGGGAAAGAAACATTCAAGGCCAGGTTGGATGGGGCTCTGAGCAACCTGCTCTAGTTGAAGATGTCCCTGCTCACTGCAGGAGAGATGGACTGGATGGCCTTTAAAAGGTCCCTTTCAACCCAAACCATTTTGTGATTCTATTCTATGAAAGATACATGGTAAAAACATACCTCGATCTGAATCTTGTAGTGGTCTTTCTGGCAAGAAATTCTGTCATCAGTCTCAGTACTGAGAGTACTCTGGACTATAACCTGCAACGCTCCAGAGCGGCAACACTCAGAAAAATAACAGCTTTGATAATAAAGGCCAAATTTCTTTTCAAATTAAGAATTTTCATAGCATGCAGCTTCTCAAGCAATCACGTTCTGTGTATCCTCAAGTTTTGTTTTCGTGGCTCTGTTCTTCTGTGCAACAATAGTTGCAAGCTCCTGTCTTTGTGCTCAACAAGATGACTAAGATGTCCCTGTGCGGGCCACAGAGATAATTCATTTCTGGTCTTCTGCTCTGCCCTCACTTTTTGGGTATCAATCACATCTGTTAAGCTACTCTGTGAAGAGAACATGGGCTAACTCCTGGTCCAGAGGGTGAAGAAAGCTTGATCAGGTCTTAAACACTGTCACTAGCAGGCAAGAAGGTTGAGGCGGCGGAAAGAGACCTCCATGTCACTTCTCCATGTCAACTTGTGTGTGGTAGAACAAACATACCTGCTCTGTGGGCTTTCCTCTAAGTCCTCTTACAATACTAAGTGCTTTTCAGAGCCTGACTAACTTCTGTTGGGAGGGGAGAAAAAAAAACCCCACAACCTAAAGCTTACAACAGCTATCAGTACCACTTTGGTCATTTCAGCTTGGTAAGGGGTATCCACACATCTCTTTGTTTCTACACAACCATCGTGATAATACAGAATCACAACATCAGCAATTGCATCACTGCTGCTTAGGTATTATTGTTGAAATTACTGTCTTACCTTTTTCCCCCTCATGCTTCCATCTCGTAGGTATTTTGCCTGCATACACATACATTCAAGGATTATTCTGTTATTTATTCTATACTATTTTTTAACAAACAGGCACGTTTAGACATGCACAAGATTGCACTAGTGAAAGCCTTTGAGCAAACCTCTGCTGTCCTATTTGGTCATTCGTTTCTGTTTAGGAGCGTAGATCTAGTCACTCCTACAGGTAGGAGCAGAGCAGGTGTACAAAGGAAACAAGCTGAGTGATTCCCAGAATTCTGAGAAGTCTGTATCTAAACCATTAAACAATTTTTAACTACCATTATATGCATATCTTGTCTTAGTCATGTGTAGGAGTTGCCACATGGCTGTAACGATATAAAACTTTTTAAACAGTTTTCAAGAGACGGGAAGAAATAATGAAACCAAGTTTGGCGTTTTTCATTTGTAGTACAAGAAACAAGTACGTGCTGCAAGGTAATCAAAATACCATTTATATACCAGTAAAGTAGGTTCACTAGCTTTAAAGTTCCAGCATTGTAGTGGCTTTATGCTTTAGTTCATTTAAAAAAAAGTCACTCTTGGATAAAGATCAAAAGCATGCCATTACTAAGTAAAAGGAGAGAGTAGATAGAGCACCGCAGCAGACAAATGGGTTTACCCAAACCTCTTTCAGCTTCAACAGGAACCTTGTTCTACAGCACATCTGATCTGCTCTCAAGCAACACCCAGCGGCAGTCCTGGGTGTAAGTTTTTGTCAGTTGGATCTGCCTGGCCTTATTCCAGCCTGCAGAGACACACTAATGTTACCTATGGGCTCTCCCTGCTACGTGGAAACCCGGCTGCAAAGACCACAGCCCAGGAAGGGCAACGACAGCTCTTCCTCTGCAGTTGCCGTGTGGGAGAGGACGCTGTGGTCATGATACTCCAGCCGGAGGCTCTGCTGCTGCTCCCAACCAGCCCCGGCATCTTTTTTAAATAAGCAGCACTTGATAAAAATCCTGATCTGAGAAGGTCTCCTAATAGAGCAGAGTAGTTCAGCTGCTAGGATGCAGGTCATGCATCTGCACTGCTGCAGTCTAAACTCTTCACATGGGTCAGTGACTGTTCTACTCCCTGTTACTGGTCTGAATAACTAGTGTCATGCTTAGTGTGCTACACCGTGGTGAAACTTTTCCTCCTAGCATGTTATTGCACTAAATCTATTGCCTGGGAACCCTGGAACTACAGCTAATCATGGTAAAGCAAAGGAGATCGTGCACAACAACAGCGGCAAAATTAGTGCATTTTCATATTAATCGGCTTTTAATAGCTTGAGCTTTTTTAGCAACAAATTCTAAGGTCCCATGTTCAATATTTTATCTCTAATGAAGTGTTCTAAAAGCCACTTCAAGTGTTTTTAGATTCCTTCTAGACTGAGGAAACAACATGTAGCAAGTTTGATACTGATATAATCTATTTTACTAGAAACAAGGTAGGAAAACCTCAAGCACAGAGAGTGCATCAAGCTGCTACCTCACTCACAAGTGCTCTGACACAGCTACAATTGCCAGGCTGGCATTAGCATCTTTGTCGGTTGCCTCCTCACAACTTGGTGTCCAGTAGTAATGCTTCTTAAGGCCATGGGAGAGCTCTGCAAGGTGAACGTGCCCATCCACTTCGTAGGGTTCCACGTCTGTACAATTAAGTTTCAAGCGGCCCGTCTGAATTAATTCTGAAAATGCCTGAAATGAACGAGAACAAGAATCTGACATCTGACATTCCACTTTGACTGCAGTGAAGGCTCTAGAAGATAATGCAGTAGGTGAGTACTTAACGATTTCAGGATGCTGATGTTCAGTGAGTCTCATTGCAGCACCACCATATTATAATTACTTTTAAGAAAAAGAGTAAATCAGGTATCTTGTTCACAAATTGCTGTAGTCTTCCCAATGATTGTAGAAACAACTTAGAAGAAACAAACAAAATCCAACCCTCTTAGAAGAGTTCAGAAGCAAATGCTTACCCTACAGGTGGCTTCATCACATTTGTTCCCCCAAATGTAAATATAGGAAAGTTCCATGTTTGTTTTCATTGCATCTGAAAGAGCTAAAAGTCCTTTGCCACTTATATTGTTGCTTACTACTGACAACCTAACAAACAGAGAAAATAGTTATGCAAATGTGAGTCAAACCGCAGGATTCCCATCTCTTAGTTAAAACTAAGACTTTAACTATGACTTATTCTTATATTTAATCATTATATATTATATTGCATATGTATATTTAAATTTTATATTTGTTATTAATAATGTAATTATTTATTTGTATCGAGTTCAGCCCTACTGTGAAATCTTTTCTAGGTTGCTAAAGGCAGTTTAGACTATGGACTTGGAGTATTTCTCAAGGCATTTCCATGACTCATGCAGCCAGGTTGTTCACTATCTAGTTCTTGAGTGTCCGTGACTGCCTGCCTGGTGGCCAGGTCTCATCCCTACTCTGCTTTGAAACCAGGGCCTTGGCATTTATCCAGGCTAAGCTTTGATCTTTGCGGAGTGGCAGTTATTTTTATATTAGTGAACCTGGAAGGCTTTCAGAGGCACCTAGCAGCCGCCACCTCCTTAGTCTGCTACTTAAAACTTAACAGCTTCAAGTAACACCTTTGATCAGCTTTTACATCCTGCCAGTGCACGGTTTAATGCAGGCTACAAAATACACCCTGGTAGAGAGATTATAGCTCTTTCGGCTTCACCCGGAAGCTAACTTAAATGGAGGATTTTCTTAAGTGTTGAAGATCAGAATCAACAAATATAGTGCCTTATCCCTGCATGGAATCTGATTATCTTAAAATTCAGAAGATGTACAGCTCTTGGTTTGTTTTCGCTTGTGCACCACAGGGACTTACACTTTAAAGTTGCAAAAAGAACTAATAAGATCTAATTGCCTTCCCCCACGCCCCTCTCTCCTTAGAATGACTGTAAAAGCTGTGAATCACATGTAAGATGAACCACTACAAAACTGATCTAAGCGTCAACCTCAAAAACCCCAAAGTAGAACAAGCATATGTCAGGCCACACAGCAACGGATACAAGAAGGAATAAAGGAAGTACAAGGAAAAGGGGATGAGTTCTGAGTAGGCCTGGCAGTGTGGGAAGGCATTAGCACATGGGACTGAATGGCACGTCTTGGCCTCATGTTTTACTCCTTTAGCTCACGTGAAGCTACAGGGGACTTCATTCCGTTACCAAACGCAGGCCTCCTGTGCTGTCCAAAATGCGTTGGCACGTCCTGCCCGCTCTCCAGCTGCGGGGCTCAGAGGAGCTGTGGCTCAACCTCTAGCACCCGAGAATGCCTCGCAAGTCTTGGGGCATCTCACATGGCAGGAGAGGCCTATGCTAGCAAAGGAATCCCACCCAAATCTGTCACTCACGTTTTTTTCCTCCCGAGAAGGAAAAATGGACCAAAAAGTTCAGAACTTCCTGACTTTTCTATTTTGATCAACATCAAAGCACACAGCTTTGATGTCACTTCAGCCAGTGCAAAGTCCAAATTCCTTATCATCTGAGTCTGTACACCTGCAGTCTCTGAGGAAGTTGAGTAACTACTAACGCTTGAAGAGTCCTGTTGTACAAAGCCAAGGCTTCACTCAGGTAGATGGCTCCATCATCTTCTATTCGGTTTGCATTAAGATCTAGGATTTCCAGGGTTTGGTTTTGTTTTAGTAGTTCTCCCAAAAATTTTACACCATCATGGGTTATTTTATTACTGAAAGAGAGATGCACACATTTTTTTTTAAAAGGTGCTAAGAAAATCAGTTTCTAATGTTCATCAGGGCTATGTCACATCATAATTCTTACCAGCTAAGATCAAGGTATCTCAGGCTGGAGTTTTCATACAATGCTTCACACAGTCGCTCTACACCAAAGTTTTTCATTTCATGCTTGCACAAGTGTAGTTCCACGAGAGAAGAGTTATTTTTCAACATCAGAGCTACATGAACGCTGGTCTCTTCCTAAAAAAGTACACTCATTATTAAGCCGTACTTTACAATAAGATCAGGTCTCGCTTCAGTAAAGAGGAGATGCACAACATCAAGATTTGGTTATCAGTAGTGTCCTATTTTGTATATTGTATTAAAAATAGCCAGGAAACAATATATTGTGATAACACTGAAAATAAAGAATGAAAAATACCAGAAAGATCTTTACAGATTTACAGTACTATATACATCCCTGCAAATATCAGAAGCATCAATGTTTGAATCATTATGTCTAATCAGTTTTCCTCACAGTCATTGCTCCTAAAAAATTGAACATTTGAGTCAGTCTTCACTAACATTAGAAGTATTTTGTCATGAGGCTAATCTATTATTTCATTAAAAGAAACAGGATTGTTATGGGAAAAAATATGTCTTGTCACTGTAACACAAAGTAAGTTCATTTTGAAGCTGTACATTTAGTTCAGAAAAAACCTGAGTGTATATTGTGTGTCAAAAATAAGGCAACAACACAGAGGCCTCAGAAAATGATAAGAGTTGCAGGTGGGAACAACGGCAACTATAGTCTCCCACAGATACAGACCAGGGCCTTAATGGCCTATATTTTCAATAGCAGTAGTTTATAGTTTAAATTTATTTCTAGAACTGGGTTTAGGCAGATCAAGCCCTGTCTTAGTAGAAAAGAAATAACTAAAATCTGTTTAAACTGTTAAATTCACCTGTGTGAATTTAGGAAGATCTGGCCTTCATGACAGTTTAACTTCGTTACCCTGCCATCAGGAAAATACCGTACCTATCGCAGACGTCTGGCAACTGCTGCCGGTCTGGTGAAGCCACTGCCGCGACCAGCTCTGTAGCCAAGGCTTCTGCAGGACAGTGATGTGCAGGAGCTGCCTGCCTGCGAGCGAAAGCCCTGCAGCTCTGCACGCCTGCCTGTGGAGCAGCCCCCAGCAAACACTGCCTTGCAGATTCTCTTTTCTGTGCTCGATTGTTTTGGAGGGTTTGTGTCTTTGTTTTGGCTAACAAATGCATCATAGGTTTTACACTGATGGGGTTCATTCACTTGTTAAATTCATGCTTCAAGTTCAGATATTGAAACAACAAAACCACCCAGCTCAGTGAATATGGCATATTGCTGAAGTCTGCCTTTCTTCTTTAGGCTGTGGGCTCTGGCAATTGCCCATGTAGGCACTGCTCAGATAAACAGTAGCCTTTTGTTCTTCCCCTCCTTTCCTGCTAAATAGCATTTCTCCCTCAGTTTGCTGAACGACACATAAAACTCTCCATGCTGTAACAGCAGAAGGAAGACTTGGTTCTCCAATACCAAGCCCTCTCCACTAGCCCATTATTTAACAAATGCAGATGTACCAAGAAATTTTTAAAAAATTAACATTCTAGTTAAACAGGGGCAGTCTGTGACTGCACAAAACTTGGCACAGAAAAAGAATATTTCTGCAACCATTTTCTTAACTTTGTAAGGAAACCCAGAGCGCAGTGTAGTTCAGCTGTCCATATGTACATCAGTACTGACTTTACTTATGCTTCTCTCTGACTGAGCTGACACCACATTCTACTTACATACCGCTTGGCTGTACAGTAAAGGACGATTTAGGTTTATTGCTTTGACTGATCTGTTCTGAGTCAGGGCTGTTGCTATTGCTATTAGACACTGCGTACCCTGGAAATGAAAATAAATAAGCCCTTTAGAGAAAGCTGTCCAATATATAGATCAAGATACCAAATTACCATGACTTCTTAGAATTGATGTCAGAAGATCAAAAACATCAAATGGGCTCAGATTGGAAATACTATTATTTCTGTCTCCACGTATTCTGGAGAGATGCAAGTGCAGCAGGCAAATGCTTACAGACACAATGTATTTTGCCAACTCCCTATGGAATAATAGAGTGGAATTAGATTAAGAAGTACAAATGACCAGGAAATTTGGCAACTCAGAAAATAAAAAGCAAGAATAATGTATCTCAAAGATACATGTCCATTTAATTGATCCTGTATTTTGCTTTTCCTGATTTATGAATTAAATTGTGTTGCGTGTGTTCCCTAAGGTCTTCGGTAAAAACCTTAGGTAACATTTATCCACTAGGTAAATTCATGCTAAAGGCAAATTAATGTGGTACAGAGTAGTGAGAGTCTAGAACACAGTTCAGATTTTTGTATTTCCTTCTCATTTGTTCCCTACTTTATATTTATGTTATTTTCCAATTAGGCTGGTCTACACCCAAAGCTATTTTGTTTTAAATCAGTTTTCTGTCAACTCCCTACCAAGCATAAATTTATTAAGCTTTCAAATAAATCATACGCTGGCTACACTTCCCTTGTTTATGTTTTCATAACACGCTCCACAGTTTCTGAGAAGTATTCCCCCTTCTAGTTCAGGACCAAATTCTGTAATTCCAGGAAACAAGTATAATAAAATTTTCGTCTGACCCCAGCTATTTCCCTGCCCCCAGGTGACAGTCGTAACTGTTAGGTTACATACAGTCAAACTTACTCCTTCTGTCCAACGTACGCTTCATTATCTGCTGAAAAGATGAACACCCTTAACAGGAAGGCTGAGAGTGGCCTGTCTTAAATTTGACTTCTAGCTTGATTAGGGCATTCTCCTGGAGGGCAAAATACGGGACCAAATTCTCCCAGGCAGGGAGAAGAACCACTTCCACCTTCCAGCCCCTCTAATGTGATCACACAAGGACATGCCATCAGTCAGGAGCTGGGACCTTGCACCAGGAGGAGGTTCACAGCTCTAATTGCCCCCTCCAGCTGTACCCCACAGGTTTTTAAAAGCCATCCACAGACTTTTACCAGCTGGAGTGGGAAGCACCCTGCCTAGTGCAGTGACCCATTTCTATCCTCCTGACTGTCCCTGTGCACCGTGTAAGAAGTCTCACAGCACCCAACTCTAGGAGGCGGCACGTTATCTACGATCAAATTGGGTGCCTTTCTACTCAATTCAGCACTCTCATGCCTATGTCCTGTACGGATCCAGCTCTGACGCGGGCAGCAGAGCTATGGGACTGGTTGACTTTCAGGCATTACAGCACTGCATGCTTTAGAAGGAAGAGAACCTCCAGGGAATAAGAAGTCCTTTCTGCAATGTGAATTACACAGGACTTAGACAGCATAACAGAACTGAACAGCAGGAACAAACCTTGCAAATGTGAAAGCCAAGCACCTGAATTCCCAGGGACATAGTGGCTCTAACCTATCATCAGTTATGATTTCACAGGTGTTTTATGCAACATGCCTTTCCAAGTACACATTGCATTATTATATATTGTTACCTCCAACTATCACAAAATGTAAAATCAATTACAATGGATGGCATTTTCCCCCAATTAAGCACTGCAGGACCTTTGTAACACCCTTGAAAGACTTATGTTATTGCTGATAATTTTACTGGGTTACTCACCATATCGCAGTCTCCAAGATCCAGCTTCTCTAAGGTTGAATTAATTTGTAGCATTGAAGCAAAGAACATTCCACCTTTGTTTCCTATTTTGTTTCCAGTCATTCTCAAATACACAAGAGTTTCATTCCTCTAGACAAAATAATAATTAAAAAATCGATTCCTTTTAAATGGCCTGAAAAACAACACTGTCCTCCTTCCTGCGAGTCTTGCTGGTTGTCACATGAAGACAAAACATCCCTCCAGAAGAATTGTGTCTAAGGGATAACACTGACTAAGCACTTGGCTCAGGCTCCCCTCAGTGGAATCAAACGCATGAGAGTCTGGAAGCAACACTCAAATATTTGAAAACTTTTGTTTCTCCCAAGTTCCCAAATTTCACACTCATTAAAATAATCCAGGCAGATATTTCTGCCTAAATTGGCAGCTGAAATGCAAATTATATAAAACCAGATGTAAATCTAGTAAGCATATTCTAAACAAGAATATAATTTGCTTTATTTTTTAATAGCCCTTTAAATCACATGGCCAGTCAAAGCTCAGTGAAGCTGGTTGCCTTCAGTAGGACTACTTGGTGCACAGTCAAACCAGGGTGTGAGTCTCTGTTGGACTGGCAATATAGAGTTCTGATCAGGGGTCAAGTCAATGTCTTTCCCCTCACTCTCCACAGAATTTCAATGGATACGAAATATCCATTCACTGTCATAGCCCTAAATGCAACACAGAGTAGTTTTGTATTTTTAATTCCTCAGTACCACCATAATCACTCATTACCAGAGATTATGATTAAGTGATTACGAAACAAGTAGTTCTGTGAGCAGCAGAACTAATGAAGCCCGGTTTCACACGGCTTTTGTGTCTTCCACATGTCCCTGGTACCCTTTCCCCTGCTGCGGTACCTCGCTACAGCACCTCCTTCCCTCGCCCTCCCTCAGTAACACACCCCCTTCACCCCGGATCCCCTGCCTGGCCCAAGGGGCTGCCCGGTTGGTCAGGTCCTGCCACTCACCTGCTCAGCAAACGCTGCCACGGGGCTGCACAAACAGCTTTGGGGGTTGTTTGCAAGCCCAGTGTTGTACAATCTACCGTACAACATTAGCATTTTGGAGGCCTCTCAAATTTAGCTGAAATTGGTTTGGAGTTCAAAGACTAGGAAGGAGGAAGGAAGGGTTCACCTGAATCTCATGTCACAAACACAACAGATCGTACACACAAGCCTCATTTCCTTGGGAAACCACATTAAAAATAACAAACTTGTTTTTATGCTGCTGCTGTGAGAAGGTTTGAAAACATGTCTCAGACATCTTGAATCAAGACAAATATTGACATCAAGGTACAGGCAAATTTAATACAATTAAAAAAAAAAAAGGAAAAACCTGATGGGATTACATATATATAAAAATATACAATATATTATAATATATTATAATGGCATGCTATGCATTATTGTAATTATAATATAATATAATGCATAGCATAGCATTTTTCACACAGAGAAGACCAGTTGCGATAGCTGCAATAATTAAGTGTTAATGGCCGCACAGTGCAACTTTCTCTTGTGTGAAATCTGATTTCTGAAGTCTGCCTTGGGAAAACAAGCAATCCCTGTGACACAGCAAAACTCTGAATGGACTGAAGACAGAAGGCCCTTTCAGCCAGCTCTGATGTTGGCAGGACAGCTAGTACTGTTCATCAAAAGCAAAAATGTCAAACTAGATGCCATTGTCTAAATCTCCTAGACAAATACTCACATGGAGTGCTCTTGCTATCAGCTCTGCTCCACTTGTGCCAATGTCATTAAACATCAGGTTAAGGTACCGCAGAGTGGAGTTTTCCTTTGGAACAAACAAAGCAGAAAGCAATGAGACTTTTTTCCAGAGCACGCCTGCATTTTTCAAAAAGGAAATGCATCATATATGTACTCAAAACCTCTGTCCTTCGCTGCATTTCAGGCAGCCCCTGATTTGGAGAAATAGTTAAAGAATGCCAAAGTATGTCCGATGATGAGGGAAGGGCAGAAAAACATGTAGTGTGTAGGTCCTCATGGGGCTTACAGAAACCACTTAGGGACCCACGTGCTCAGCATGACCAAACGAGGCAGGTGGTCAAGCTCAGATGCAGACCTTCAGGCATTTTGTGATCTTAATGGCACTCCCTTGAGCTCCAGGAACACAGGCACTGAGTGGCAACTCACCATTTTCCATCTGTATTCTGGTGCTTACAATGACAAAAAGGCAGCATTAACGTTTCCTGTGCTTAGACCTACAAAAAGACTAACAGAGATGATAAAGTATCTAAAACACAGGTCCTGGCACACTTGACACTACCATTCCCTCCTTTGTTAAACTGAACTGTAAACCTATATGCCCCACAATTTATTCCAGCGTTTTTTCTTCATGACACCCTTGCCAAATGTCAAATGCTTTTCTACCAGAAATTAAAAATCTCTCCAGAGAACACAAACTAAGATTCTAGTGGGATGGATTTGGATGTGAAAGTTAAAGTTAATAGAATTTTGCCAAACCAATGCATTCTTGTCTCCAATTTACCGCAGATAAATATTATAATAGCCAAATAAATTACAAGTTGCTGAATGACAAACATCATTTTGGCACCTGGAGGAATGTTGCCATGTGCTTTGCTCCAGCATCAGTCAAAACATTACACCTAAGATCCAAACCTGAAAAAGATGAAGAATGAAGAACGTGACAGGTGCCTATCTGCTATTAACTGATCTCTGAAGAAAAAGAAACAAAGATGAATCAAGGCTGAAATCAAGACTGCTTATGTTTTCTTATATTAGCACAGCAATGTCAAACATACATGAAAAAAGCTTACCTGTGACAAATACAGTATTGTGCAAGACAGAGGCAAGAACTTGAAGATCGTAATCTGTAACTCTCTGCACAGGCACTAGATGATTATTTCCAGCTACTTTTAATGTGATCCCTTTTGTCCACCTGCTGTAACATAAAAATGTAAGCACTTGGGGAGAAGTAAAATGATACAGAAAAATGAATTCTCTCTCCAGATAAGAAGTGTATCCATGCTTGCCCTTGCTGATGTGTTTGTGTGCAGTTAGCTGCTGCCACCTTTGGTAACACCATGACAGATGACATGATTCAAGCTGTACCTCAGCGCTGCCCTTCTGAAGACACTGCACAGCTGCAAGATCACACTTAGCACACACCCACACAAAGCAGGAAGGAGCAAGATATGGGGAAGGTAGATGGAAATAAAGACTATCCTGGAGGTTACCTCATCATCAACTTTTTACTTGTTCCCTTTCCTTTATTTACTCTATCCTGCCCTCAGGATCAAAACCTAACACAAACTGTTTCACTAGGCTGTATTTTCTCAGGTTTTCTCTCCAAAACACAATTAACTTTGACCCCAGGAGCACTCATGAGAGGATGCCCTACCTAACCACATAATGAGAGAGAATTTTGGTGGTTAATACCTTGGCAGGATTCAGAGACAGTTCAGGGAAGCATTACCAGCTGGAAGCTAACTGGATGCAGCTGAGCCTTTTTAAGCAGGAGCAAGACAAAAGGGAGTTAGGGTGACTAGACACTGGGTTTGGCTTCTTTAAGGGACACAAAGGCACCATCCTGTACATTTTTCACTTTTTTTTTAATTTCACTGCTTGTAAAGCTGCCCAGAGGGATATATACCTACAAACTTCTGCCAAGATGATGTCAAGATGAGTCAAACCAGAACTTCAGCAGTAAATGCTAAATATGATTTGTGTTTAAGCCTGAAACTGCATGAACTTTCTCATTGTTCAATTCCTTGTCCTGCTATCTTGTTTAAGACTTTCAGAAGCATCTGAAACATGTTGTTTGTTATTTCCTTACATTTTATCATTTTTATCGGCTTCTTGAAGCACATGAGCAATGAAGGGGTTTTCGGGTTGGCCCAAGTTTTGGCAGGCCCGCACATAGTGCTGGTGAAGATCTGGACGAACTGACATGACCTGCTGGAAAACAAAACAGCGTTACTGCATCATTAGGGCAGCCTAGCAACATCACCATGGACCCAAACGCTGTTGTGCTGGGCTCTGGATAACAATAAAAATGGGCTCGGTCTGAAAAGGGTTGCAACTCTTGGTATGCAACACCAGAATAAAAGAGACAGAGAGACAGGGAAAGCTCCAGAAAAAGACGCGGATGTGTGGACGTGTTTCTGATCTGCCGTCACCTAGGATCTAAGCCAACAAAGAATTAATATTCACACAGGCAAGTTCTTTTTCCCCGTAAAGCAGCTGGGCCCCCAACCTCCGCAGGCCTACCTGAGCGATAAATGCCGGCACCGCCAACCTGCAGTGACCGGCCCACAGGCGAGCTCTGTCCCACGGTTAATAGTGTTTGGTAATGGAGCCCGTTTCCAAGGAGGGCCCTCCACCAAGAGGGAGCGGGTGAAGGTAGCCAGGCCCAGCCCAAGGCGCTGGCAGGAGGCCTCACCGCTCAGGCCTGGCCGCGCCTGTGGTGCCTGGCCCCTGCGGGGAGGCGAGTTCTGTCAGCTCACCCCCGGAGTATTTGTTTAGTGGTCTGCCCGCGGTCTCCGAGGAGCCTTAGTAAAAATTTCCGTGGTTACACAGATTAGCAGTTACTTCAAAGGTGCCTGTGCCGGTCCTCTCCACCAAATAAATCCTTCTGCCGACTTCCCTTCTGCCCCTGTACGCAGGAGGGGTGGGCTGGGATCGCACACTCTCCGGTCCCACAGCGTGTGGGGCTCACACCCGAGTACTGAACTCAGAGCCAATAAAAAAAAAAAATACCCTTGTGTGACATCTGAATTAGACTGGGAAACCCAGCATGGGTCTCTCCCCACGGTGGGTCGCTCAATTCTTCCTCCTTGTCCTGGTGACATCTGAAAACCGCCCACCTCTGGAAATATGACGTCCTCCCAGCGCGGTTACGGCAGCAGGGAAAAGGGTGCCTGGTGGGAGACGACAGACAGCTGCCTCGTGACCTCCTCTTTCTCTCTTACCATTCCTTAAATGCTAGCGGAAAGCTTTCTTCTGCCCCGGCATCAGAGGTTGCTCAGGTAGTCGCCCCTTCCCACGTCTCACTCTTTCGCTATCAGCAACAGAACAACTTCAAGGCTTATCAAATATCAGATTCACGGGCATGTCTCTGGCTCAGAAACCACTAAGTGTTACAGACGGTGCCACCTTATTACAATAGGACTCTTTTAGTTTTACAGTCAGCATAGCTGAAGACAGATCTCAGTCAGTGTTTGTAAATATAGGCCTTCAAGACTCAAGGAGGTTGCCTCATCCAGCTCCCCTGACTTCACAAGGTCACCCTGCGAATTTCGCGGTTGGAGCACTTCGGGATGCACTGGGTTTCAAAGAGATGGTCCTGTTGTCTGTACTGCAGGATTTGATCTCGATGAACAAGCAGCTTTTTGCAGGGGTACAACTAAGGCTAGAATCTGTTCCTAAATGCTGAATTCTGCCAGTATTTATTTAGCGTAGGAAAGTCTTTGAGTACTCTTGATTTTTAATTTTTTTCTCCTCTGAAATTAAAAATAAGGAGCAGAGATGGCTGAGTCTCAACAGAGCCAGGAGGCCAGCGCAGGGGGGACTCGCTGCCCCAAAGCTGACTGTTGGCTTTGAGGATGACCGCATTCAGACTGCACAAGAAACACCAGTGAATGAAATGCCAGAGAATGAAGCTCTTTCTCCCACACGCACCACAAACGGGGTATTTTTCATTGATTTAGCCAACAAGCCACTGCGAACCAACTTGCCAGGGTTCTCAAGTCTAGAATATCTGGAAGAGCCGCACATGGAAAAGAACCTGACTGTAAGCATCCTCAGAGACACGAATCGCCTGAGGCACCTGAAGGCCCTCTGCTTAGATCAGAATCACATACAGGACATATGCGAAGAACTGGGGGAGCTGAAATGTCTTCTGAGCTTAGATTTCAGCAACAATCCCTTCTCTTGTAGTTTGTTGCCAGTTATCAGCAAGTTGCAGTCCCTTCATGAGCTCAGGCTCTATAAAACTTGCACAAAATCCCAGTGCAGATCTGTGAATACCTCCATCACATTGAATTGCTTGGCCTTTCTGACAATAATTTCAAGTGCCTGCCTAAAGAAATAGAGAACCTGACAAAACTCAAGGAAATTTACCTCCAGAAAAATAGATTTTAAGTTTTCCCGTGGAGCTTTGTCATATTGCTAACTCAGAAATAATAGATCTGGAACAAAATCTAATCAGTCTCATTCCAGAAGAGGCAGGCTTTTTGACAAACTTAGTTAAGATATTTTTGGCTTTTAATAACTTATCCTCCATTCCTCCTACACTGCAACACTGCCAGAAGCTGGCTGTGCTGCATCTGTCTCAATCTCCTGCACAAGCTTCCCCCAAGTTTGAAGAATCTCACTGAAATGAGAGTTACTCAGACTGTCTGCTAACAGCCTGGAAAAGTTCCCACAACAGATCTGCTGCTGGCTGTCCCTTTCCTGTGTTTATCTGAGGAACACCAGACTGTGCACAGTACCCGGGTCCTTCACTAGATTAACCGGTGTCAGGATACTAGATCTGAGTGAAAATACCTTTGATGAGATTCCTAAAGGAATATGCACTATGAAAAATCTTTAAGTATTGGCCCTGGAGAGCAGTCAGATACAGGAGGTATTTGTTCCTTAGCTTTCATTTTATTGATACCTCCCTTTTGCAAAATATAAGTTCTTCATTACAACTGAGTGCCACCTTTCCCTACTACAGTGAGAAGGCATGTTCCACCTGGTATGCACCTGAGCCTGGGTTACTCATTATCACTGACATCTGAGTATTCAGGCAGGGAGAAAAAAGCAAGAAGGTGGAAACACTGACCTTTGTGTTGAATCGTAAAGGTGAAATACTGCCTGGAGGAACCGCGTCAGTCTTTTTGCATCTTTTTTTCTGTGTACACTGGAAAATAACAGCTGCATTTGCATAGAATCAATACGTCATAAACTGAAGCAGAGCAGAGAGCAATTTTAAAACATGTGTGATATTGTTAATGCCTTTAACACCATTAACAATTGCTGTTCATTTGATAATGAACAATTACGTACCCTAAACCTGTGCTATTATAAGTGTAACAGTATTCATGGATCTACTCATTTTAGGGGTCAGAATACACCTTCCCTTTTATATAATACAACATTTCTTTTCCAAGGAGATTTTAACTTGTACAATTTTTTTCTTGAAGATTACATTTACAGAAGTAGTAATTTATGCAAAAGAATCACTTTCAGATTTCATTCATTTAAATTACTCTCCCCTGCACTGTGCATACAAAGGAAATGAAGAAGCAGGCTAATGTTTCTGCTAAGAAATAAAATTAACCTCTATAAGAAATCTTTCCAGCAGAGGAAGCAACATGGGGTTTTTTTGCCAATATTTCCACCATTGTGAGGCATAATGTCATATTAATGAGCAGAATATTCTGTGTTCATCCATCAACAGTAACACAGCTCCACAGCATTTTCTTGGAGATTTTTCCCTAAAAACAAAATCCCAGAGATTACTGTTTAATTGACATAATGTATCTTTTTAATGACTGTGTCTAGATACCTGTGGGCAGGGAAAGAACTGACAAATTTGAAATGCCTTAGCCTGTCTGAAAACCAATTCAGTATCTTTCCAAAGGAAATCTTTCTCCTGGAGTCATTAGAGAGATTATACCTGGGACAAGATAATGGAATTCAATTCACAAGTCTGCCAGAAGACATCAGCAAATTGCAGGCAGAAGCAATAGGAGGAGGAAGATCTTGCTCTGGTGTGGAATGGCACTTTTGTGGACTTCAGCTGCTCCTAAATGCAGGACTGAAGGTTCTCTTTCTACAGCACCTGGCCAGGGCCGTCAGAATAGGAATAATATGAAAACTCAGCATTTGAAACTCATGCCATCCCTCTGTGTTCAGTAGTCATCTCAATAGTAGCTCAGTTTTTAAACCTTACTTCAGCACTTACTGGTATTTTCTGTACGTTGATTAGGTATCAAGCTAAGGAAAAATCCTTTCATTATTAAAAGTTATGCACACATATTTTCCAGAATCTGAAATAACTGCATATGGAAATATGGAGAGTACCTGTCTGCAGCCATCGGCCACTTGAAAATGCTCGACTGTCGCAACAATCTCCTGAAACAGCTCCCAGGCTCCGTATGCCAAATACAAGGTGAAAGATAGTCTTTGTGTTTGTGGCCTTAAGGACACAAGCACCAGTAAGCATTCTGGAAGAAGGAGAGAGAGAAGGGAAGGAGGAATGCAGTGTCGTTGAGGGCTTATCCTGTAATTTTAAGGGAGCCAAATAGGATAAAAGTTAGGAACTGGGAGGGTGGGGGAAGAGCTGTACCCAAGCCAAGTGGACAGGAGATCTTTACCCATGACCTATGTCAACCTCAGGATCTGGGCAAAAAGAGGTTTCCCAGAGGTCAGCTCGAAGCAGACCCCCTGATGTGAGAAGACCCACTGGGTCAGCACCAGTGACTCCAGGAGGTGGTGAGGAACCAGCTCTCTGGGGATGCTCCCCTGCCCAGTCTTTCCATCTTCCCCAGGTCTCCATTACATCTCTGTGTGGCTAAGTTCACTAGCACTGTTGGTGTGCCAACCAGCACAACTTTTAAAAGCTGAATTTGGCCACCTGGCTACCAGGTGAATAGTCCTCACCTAGTGAAGTAAATGCTTTGCTAGGAGAGCCTGAGAGCCATCCTTCTATATTTGGGAGCAGATACTTTGAATTTTAAACATTCTGGTGAGATGTGCCATACATTCATTACATGCACAGACTGAATTGTTTGTGCCTCATCCATGTGCTGTTTAAGGGGAGCATGCAGGAATATTTTGTGCTGCAGCTGTTTGCTCTTGTGTGTTCAGGTTTGCAAAAACTGCTTGTTCAAAAGAATCATTATTCCAGCTGTCCGAGGATTTGGACAGTCTTCAGCAGTTGGAGCTGGTCCTTGCAGATGGGAACGCTATGACAGACCCTCCGACTGAAGCGTGCAGTGTCAGGGAACATCTGCCATCTGGGAATACTTATAGGAGGAAAGGTGCAAAAGGGCCATGAACTTAAAGGTAGGGGTGTTAAGAAAGTCATCACAATATACATACAAAGCTGTGTTTTTAGTAATAGATACTTTGCAGAACAACCTACAGGGCACTCTATACAACATCAAAAACATCTTAAATCACCGTTCGCACCAGCTATGGCAGAGCAGTACTTCTATCACTGGTCAAGTTAAGGTAGGATGTAGGGAACCATAAATACAGCACTGGGCATCATTCAAAACCATACCAGAAGGTTGTCACTGCCCTGCCAGGTCACACTCAGCAAACACAGAACAGCCCTTACAACTTGCAAGGGAGCTTTCCTTAGTTGCGAGTCCAGTGGAAAAGGAGTGGTTAGTGTTGCTTTTACCCTTTTCCTCTGAGTAACTAGATTGTTCTCCTCCCTTTCAGATCCAAAGTTTGTGGTGTGGGTTGAGGAGCCAGAAGGAGATTAGTCCTTTCTTGGCACTTAAGAATCTAATGAAAAAAAGAAGAAAAAGAAAGAAAAAGGAAAGGTAAAAGAGAAGCCTGTAAAAGGATCAAAAGCCAAAAAGTGGTATTTGGGCAGTAAAACGCACAGACCTCTTTTCAATTACAAGAAGTGCAAATGTGAGCAGAGATAAGTGAGTAGGAGACAAGCAGTATTAAAGCATTTGAATCAGTGACTGTTACAATGAAAACAAGTGATTTTTGAAGGTTTGTTTTTGTCAGCTTCGACTCTAGCTGAATCAGGCAGGTTCTGAAATATACTTGAGAGGTCTTATTCTGAATACATGTTATCTCAATGCATAAAGGCAGCTGATTAACTGGAAATTAATCTAATCTGTAGGAATCTGGTGCAACAGTGTTCTTTGTTCTGAATTCCAAAGTATTTTGCATGCAATTCTTAGAAATCTGTTTGCCAGTCAGTGTGGTACAGCCATACCTAGAGTGAAACAATATTTGTGGCCTCACATACTAGCAGTTCTTTAATGAGTTTTATATTCAGAAATGATTAGTACTTTGTTTGGAAATATGGAGGAGGATTCCAGGCAGTCAGAACATACGTGCTTCTACCAGAACTTGCATTACTATCCTGTCTTACAGAGGTGTAAAAAGCTCTTTTGAAAGTATCTCTACACTTTTGCAAAACTGTTCACTGATGTTTTGACACTCTGTACTTGTAGTATTTTGAATGACTGCAAACTGTCAAATCCTTAGCGTTACACTCATCTCTGAGACAGCTTGGTGACAGTTTGTAAAATGTCTGTGTACGAGAGGCTTGAAAGCAGTCTGCAGAATGCAATATTCTGCAATGATTCTGGGTCCTGGCATGTCATAACACCTTTGTTATTCAAAAGAACAATGACAAACACTCCTTACTGTAGTTCTAGCATGACAAATTTATATGCAACCATCTCCTTCCACAGCACTTTACAGAGAGCTGTTTGTCCTAGACATCTGATGTCCTTGTCTAGCTTATTCTGTATTGCTCAGTCACTCCTTAAACCCCTCCAGAGTTCTATTTGCAGTATACGTAAAGCACAGACCTGGACTGGGACCAGCCACTGTGCAGATTCAAAATGCAGGAGTGGGTGGAAGCAGAACTCTTTGTTTAGTTTAACTGGCTGGTCAGAATCACAGTCCTGCTCTCCCTCCCCTTGTCTGAGTTGCCTCAGAGAAGGTGGTGACATCCTGAAGGAGGTGAGGCCCATCTCTTCCTAGAGCTCCACCTCCAGGTAGTGCTCTCTGAATGCTATGGCTACAACTGCATCCAAGGTATGGAACTTTCTTCTGGTTGGCTCTTGAATTGATGGATACTGAAATCTCATTAATATGCTTGTTGGCAGGAGGGAGCTGGTAGTGCAGAAAAGTGGAATGGCTCAGTTTTGGTTTTCCATTTTACTACCTAACTGATGCTGTTTTGATTGTTTGGAGGTGTGTTATGAAATTTTTTTCACCTTAAGTTGAAGGCAAAGAAGAACAGAGAGAAGGATGACTCGGGGACTATCAAGGAGGAGTCAATCACTGGAAGAGAGAGATTTCCGGGAAGATGGGTAGATGGACAGACATTTAATAGAAGTGATTTAATAGAAGCGATTTAATAAACGCTTTTTATTGGCACAATAGATATGACAATCGTGAAAGAACTGAGAAGGGGAGAGGTTGTCAGCAGCAAGTCCATATGTGCTCTGGAGGTGAGAATGAGGAACCCAACTATGACAAAGCAAGAAACCTCAACACTGGAGTCCAGTTCAGTCGGTAAGATTACAACAGATACTGGACATTAAACATGGGCCAGCTGCTTTACTGAATTAGAGAGAGGTTCAAGTAGGAAAGGAATGATTCTGAGAGATTTTCACAGAACAGATAAAGGAGCAATCTCTCAGCTGGACCAAAGGCAGATGTGAGGAAGAAAATCACAGGAAGGCAAGTGATTAAGAGAAGAGGGTGGTGTGCTGCTGTTAAACAGAGATGATGGTACTTCCACATTAGAATAAGTCTCCTAGATTGAGTCACTGCTTGAAAGCCTCTCTTGTTAGTACTCTATGAAATAGGGGCTCTTTGCTTCATTTCAGAGGTTAAGGATCTCTGTAGAAAATAACTGATCCCACACTGCAGCAATTCCCTGCTACCTCTGACCAAGACACTCCAGTTCATCTCACATTTCTCAGAGCTGGGGGAGCCAAGTGCACTTTTCAAGTGAAACAGAAAATGGAACCAGGGCGTCCATAGAGCCCCTCACGTGAAATCATGGATTAAATGATCAAGAGGTATCAGCAGACCCTGGTCAGCTGCTGGTTATAACCCTGACCAGCCAGAAGTTGATGTTGGAAGGGTCACCCAGACTGAAAGCTGAATACTGATCTGCATCTGCACAGGAGAGCTTGCCGAGAGAGGTTCTATTGAGTTAGGAAAGTGCCATGGAATGATCATGTTGTGCCACTCCTCCAGGAGATTGCTGCAGCATGTAGATATACTAAAGGGCTAATTGAGAAGTACTTTATCCCTCAAGCTGCCTCAGGATTTCTCTAAGACTCCTCACTCAGTGGGCAGATCTAATATCTTTACTTCCTAAAATACCTTACCAATGAATCATCCCACTGCAGTCTTTGAGCTCACGTGTGGGTTAACATGCTCCATGACACAAGTAACTATGCCAGAATTCAGCTCTATGTAAGCAAATACAATAAAATACCAAATAAATTATCAAATAAAGGAAGGAGAAGCCACTTACATGTCACAAGTTGGTACTTTTTCTAATAAGCCTTGGGCACAGAGTAGGATGCTCTGCTCTTAGCTAGAAGGTGCCCTGTGGCTTTGAATAATAGACTTCGTTTATTTCCTTCATCTTTAGGGTAAGGACAAGGCCACTATCTATGTCACAAGGTTTTGTGAAGGTTAATGGATTAATCCTGAATGAAGGAAAGAGGAAGGCATGGCAGGGACTCCCACTGGCTTTCATATGCTCTAGGTCAGACCCTTTGGTCTGGAAGTCTGTTTTTTTGCTGCATGTCGTAAAACGGTGCATACAGAAAACACAGTCTAGGTAAGGCTGAAACAGCTCAGGATGAGAAGCAGCATCCCTGAAGTATCCTGAAATCTTTGCATAGCCTTATTCAGAATGCTTATGGATTCCTCTGCATCCGAAATCTTTGTTAAGGTAGCAGGACATATCTCTGATTTAACCTACCACAGCATTTGCCTTGCCCCTGAGACCTGCAAAGACACCAATCAACTGTTTCTTACCTTGATTTTATGCTGATTCTGTACACAGGACTCATCTACACTATGAGATATCATCAAGGGCCAGAGCAGAGGCAGAACAGCTCCTTCTGTATTGTCCTTACTAGACTAATACATAATCCCGAGTTGTTGGGATGCTTTCCAAATCTCACAGTCATGCAGATTTAATGCGTTCACAAAGAGGCAAAAGTTTCAGGGAAGAAGAAACTAAAATTTAAAACATAGAGGTTTCAAGTATTTTCCCGTTAGAGGCATTTTCCTTATATATACATGAGGCCACATTCACACTGCCCTCCCACCTGCATTAGCACACAACCCCAGCCACTTCCCTCCATTGGCAAACCTCCAGTGTGTCCATCTGAAATCATGTAATCTGAAATCTCTTTTGACAATAGCCATTGCTGCATTCACAACATGAAGATTAAGCGTATATAGCAGTGTAAGCATGGCTCAGAGAATCTGAAAGAACGTGTTATTAAATGGAATGATCAATGCATGCAGAAGGTTAAATAACACTTCTATATAATTGTGGATCTGTTCCAAGAGATCTCATGAGACGAGATTCCTAAAAACTGGGCAGTCTTCTTAAGTCAGAGACATATAATACTTGGTTCATGTGTTGCTTGTGAAAAGCCTTCCAGAAGTCTTCAGCCTCCATCAACAGTCAAAACGAATGTTTCTTTTGTTGTCTTGATTAAAGCTTTCCAGTTGTTTTCGATGTGATTCTGAAAGGATCCATCTTTGCATCCCCAGTTCTGCCAAGGCAGGCAGCTTTGTCAGGGCTGCTAACAGCTCGCTGAACCACATCTCACAGTCTCGATAGGATGATGGCCGAAGACTGACATCCAGCTCTGAGAGTTCTTTGAATACTGTTAAGCCTTGACAGAAAACAACCCACCCTTCCTCAGAGATGTTGTTATTGTAACTCAAATCCAGCTTCCGTAATCTGGCTAGATGGCCATCCTGTGTCAGTAACGCTGCAAGAAACGACAAACACAACTAATACATCCCAGCAATTGCTTTAAAAGCTAGTAAGTAAGAAGAGTAGTATTTTAAAACCGTATTATTTAAGGCTTTTCAGTAGTCAAACAGCAAGATTCAACTCCTCAGCAACAAAGTCACTGTTGTTGATCTCAAAGACTGTATTATCACAGCTGAAGGAATGTACAACATTTAAAACACAGCCAATTCAAAAGGAACAGAAGTGTCAGGTTAAAGTTGTATGGCAACCTGAAAACCTTTCAGTCATTTGGAAGGAGGTTCTATTGAGTGCCAGTTAAAATAGGCAGTCAGGCTTTACAGGGAGATTTAGAAAGAGGAAAGCAAAACTACATGAGGTTGTATGACTACAGCAGCCATCTCTCACTGTGGGAGGGTAATGGGCCTTATATACCCTAAAGGGAACTGGGATCCTTAATGCACAATTGGCAAGGGAGACACCCATCAAGGGTGATGTTTGTAAAGTCAAAAATATTCAGGCTTCATCTCACCAGCTTTCAGATTACAAGGCCTTAATAGCTGTCACACAGCTATTGCCAATCTCAGACACTCAAAACCCATGAGTGGGGCCCACAGAATCACAAGGACGATTATAAAATAAACAGGTTTTTAGAAGGATCCTAGAATCGATTCCTTCATTGGGTTCCCATTTTCCAGCATTTCTCAGCAGCTGCTAAGAGGTGGGCTAAAATATTTCTGGTTTAATTCTCCCTTAATAGCTTGACTCCAGAAACACACCTAGTGGACTGAGAGCTGGTAGTGCCTGTATTACTGCCTGTCAGCACGTACATTTCCCATAAATTACGGAACCCAAAACCAGCAACCAAGCAAAATAAAACTCCTCAGAGACAGCTTTAAGTATCTGATATAAACAACAGACATAAAGCCTACGTTATTCTAAGTGCTGTCTTTTTGTATTAATAGATAAAACTGCTAAAATGATTCTTTGCGTTTTCATCCTTTTCAGCTTTTGCACTGTGCATGTACAGGACACAGAGTCTTCAGCAAAATGAAAACCCTTTCTGGGAAAAATACTGCTGTATTTTCCATCTTTTCTTTTGATTTATGCAAAAACGTGCTCAGTCCATGGAACAAGTCCCTTCTGAATTGTGGTCTAAACGCCCTGGCTCCTTGACTGCTAGTAAATACCATGTTATACGTACTTAGAAGTGCCAAATCTTCAGCCACCAAGTTACAGCTGCTCAGTCTTAACACTTGAATCTCCGTTGCAAGCTTTAGTGCTCCCAAAAGCAGCTTTAGGTTCCCACCAACGCACTTATTCCAAGAAAGGTCTAATATCTCCAGTTCAGGAAGGTGAAGGGCAGCCTCAGCTGAAAAGATTAAGACCAGCAACTTCTGCTTACTAAGAGAAAACAACATGGCCTCAATAGACACCTCACCGGCAATTCACCTGTAAATAAGCTCTTAACAGACTGCCTACTTGTGCTTAGAACGACTTATTTTATCCTAATAAAAGTCAGACAAAAAATATCTCCTGTGCTCTTTAAAGAATATAAGAAGGCTTGCCTATAGAATCTTCAAGGACTCTGTGGAGGAGTTTCTTGTCTTTCTGTATACATTATTGGCTTAACCTTGTCCCACTGAAGTCAATTTAATACAACAGCTTGTTTTTAAACCATTTTATATCAATTTAAAGACAGCAGTTTCTTTGCTGTGAACTCACCATGCAACATTAAATGTTCTGTGTCTTTTGACAACTCTGATTTCCATGATGTCATTCTTACATAATTGTAATAATATAAATATAGTACTCTTCCTGCAAGGACCTCAGACCAGTTTAGCTTGCTACTGCTTCTGCTGAAGGCAGTCAAGTTTTACTCCAGGTTTCAAGGTCACTAGTAAACAGTACAAAATACATTATAAGTGCATAATACACAGTAACTAACAGATCCCTCAGTACTTAGATTTCGTGTGCCATATGGAACGCCTATCAAAGGGACAGTGTAGCTGCTAATCCACTGAGATTTGCAATAAATAGGCAAAAGAGGCTGAATTTACATATCCTGTGTTAGACTGGACTTTTCTTCATGTCTGTGCAATATCTTTACTACTCCTGCAGCCATTGCCTCAGTTCCTCCACTGTCCTATGCTTAACTCTATCCCAGAAAGTTTCTACTGAAACTTTCACCTGCAGTGAGGTGAAAAACCTTCAGTCAAAACTTTACCCCACTAAACTGCAAATGCAGTGTTACAACCAAACTATAATTACAGCGTAATATGAAATCATGTTTTCCTTTCTCTTCCAAAATCAGGGACTATATGAAAGTTCACTATCAGACAAAGGACTAAAAGGGCTTCATCCAGTCAGGTATAATGGGGGAAGACATACAATGGTCTTCCCTTGCAACCAGGTCCCATGAAGCACTGGTTTCATCACAGGCTTTTTCACTTGGGACCTGTTGTATAACCATGATCCTTGGAGTTCAGCCAACGGACAATGAAGTGCTCTGTCCCACAAGGATACATAGAAAATAGACACACTTAAAAAAAAAAAACATTCCTACCTAGTGATGAAAATGACTCTTGGCCTAAACCGCAATTGCTGATGGACAGAGATTTCAACTTCGGTAAAAACCTGAGCCTGCCCAGAAGAGGATCAGATGAGACTCCTACATTTTTATTGGAGGATAAATTCAGCTCTTGAAGACTGGAGAGTAAAGGTATCACCTGGGCTATGAAAACATGAAATATTTATTAGAGAGTCACCGATCCAGAACAAGTGTGTAGTTGTATATTTGCCTGACAATTTATTTTCTTTATAAATCAATCCAAAAGTCAAGGACAAGTTTTGACACTCAAATTTATGGTGACTAATGTTTTAGTCCATAAATAGCCTTGTCATTTTCAGTAGGAATATTTAAGAAATCAGGTATTACATACTGTGTGGAACATTGTCAGAACACTGCTTCCTGTTGAAATTTTCTAGGTGAAGTAGGAAATTTAGTATTAAATGAGATGGAGGTTATTTCTAGGTCTCTTCACTGCTTCACTGAAACTCCTTTACATTAACACTGTTATACTCTATTAGTCAATAAATTAAAAATCAACCACAATTTCTATTACTTATATTTAATATTTCCCAATGTTTTATCAGCAGCTTTTCAAATTATCTTCTTTATCATGGAAAATAAGATGTGGGCAATATAGGCGTTGAGTCGTGGGATTTTTTGTTGTTGTTGTTCTAAAGAGTAAAAACCAATGTCAAAAGTTATGATAATACGCACAGAAAAATAAACTGTCTTGTTGATTGAACGGGAAATGTCTTTTTCTTCCTAGTAGTATTTATGAATTGTATCAATTCAACCTAGAGACTTTAGTCTTCAGCTTTTCTATAAAGCGTACAGCAGCAGCAATGCAAGACCTCCTAACATCACTCTCTACTCAAAGTACAGTTCACTAAGTGAGTTTCAGGCAGTTACATTTACAGGCATATATGCACCTTGGATCCATGCTGATTTACACCAGCAGGTGAACTGTCCTCAGTTTCCAAAATTACTGATAATCAAAAAACCACAGTGCTTGGCGGCAGTTCCCGTCATGGGTCTGAATCACAGCAGATTCAGGTCCTTAGTTCCACATAGGATCAGATCCTATGAGATTTCCTCTGATTCAGGAAAAAAAAAAAAAAAAAATCTATATTAATCAAAAAAGCTATCCTCCATTTGAGAACTGCCTAATGAAAAAAGAAATCTGCTAAACTAGGTTAGGCAGAATCTCTTACACCTTTGAGATATTTTCAGAAGTCAAAACCTAGATTCTTAATGGATTTCCTCAACATGTCCTTACACAAAACGGTCATGTCCTCTTCTGTTACACAGCACTGGTGGAGATCAAGGACTTCGAGATTTTTCAAGCTGGCCAAATGGGCTGTTGAGTCTTTAAAGCCACCGCCAATCTCTTTGTTACATGATATGTCTAATTTTCTTAGCTCTGCAAGGTGCTGTAAAGCAGTGTCTGAAACGGAAGAGAGCATGCTGGTCACCAGCTGCTACAATAGCACCGGTCATGGCTTTATTATTTATTTACTTTAATGTCAAAGTTTGCACAAGGTATTGCAGGCAAAGCTCTTAGACTAAGCTTCAGCATATAATCACAGCAGACGTACAGTAATACCACAAAGCTTTCCCTTCTATGCAACTCCATTCTTCTCTGAAAGAGCAGGTGAAGGTGAGGCCAGCTCATCCCCCAGATCCATTCAACCCTCAGCCTTTTGCTGAAATTATTACTGGATGTGCTAATTAGTGCCAGTTGTTTTGTCTTATGGGTAAGGCCTCCACTAGGGAGAGACACAGATAATAAGCCCATTTCATATGGCTTCACTGGACACTCATTAAGTGATAATGGTGAATTTGGATTTCCCTCTGCGAGTAGGATTACCTTGTTAAAAGTTAGCCTGTCTGTGCCCTTGTCTATGTTCTGTCTGGGGAGAGAGGAAGCATGTCCAGAGAGCCACTAATCTACTCTAAGATGTGTCCCAGATAAATGGTGTAGAGGGTGACTCTCCCCACTGACTTTCACATGCTTGAGCTCAGGAAAGATAAATGCTACTCCTGCTGA